AGGCTTCTATAAAATATATGTACAGAAAATAAAATACTTATACGAACGCAAGAAGATTAAATAAACAGCTTAATCGCAGTACCTTGTCAGTTGTCTGTAATGAAACTTGTAAAAAAATAGGACTGACTCCAAAATAGACGATTATAAATATATATATATATATATATATATATATATATATATATATATATATATATATATATATATATATATATATATATATATATATATATATATACAAGTACATAATTGGTGTATATGGAATGAATTCAATAACCAACAATTACTATTCATTAAAAAGTGCTCAATACAAAGCAGAGCAGCATCATCACTTGATAAGACACCGGAGTGTTGAAACAAAATGGCTATTTTTTGTAATGACTTTATGACATGTTTATTTTATAAATTTTTAAATAAATTTATATATATATAATATATATATATATATATATATATATATATATATATATATATATATATATATATATATATATATATATATATATATATATATATAAAAAAGGGTGTATCAGAAATAATTTTACAAAAATTTGAGGCAGATTACGCACAACAAAATAAGGACAACATCCATATAAACATATGTCTTTATATATATATATATATAATTCTCCCTCTCCCCTCTGTCTCTCTGTATATATATATAATTATTTTTGATACACCTATATATATATATATATATATATATATATATATATATATATATATATATATATATATATATATATACTTTTCTTTTCTTGCAGATAAATTTAGCGTTAATCTACATACATAGATATATATTAGGCAAATGAATGACAAAGTAGAAAAATTCTGTGTAAGGCGTTTTGTCCTCTTGAAGTACTTCAACGGACTAAAGTAATGTCTGTATTAATGGATTTGCATAGGTGTAAGAGGGAAGGGAGATTTAAAAACACGAGTCTCGGTTATATTTACAAACCGAGGGGAAACGCTGGAGATATGGAAACGCTGATATATAAATTATTTATTTTTATTTATGGGATGCGTCTTGTTAGACAGATAGCATTCAGTTTCCCGACGCTTCTGATTTTTGTTTTTATCGCTTTTGTTTTTAAGTAAAAGCACACGCATATATATTGAAAAGCAACTCCCTATTTTATGTATGATGGACTCTCCCGTCTTGTAAAATTATAATTAGACGGGAGAGTTCATCAAAAGTAAAATAGGGAGTTTTTTGGGTTTTTTTTCAATTACCCAGTATATAAAGAATGATTTATTTTTAATCCGACATTTGAACGTGAGAATTAATATATATTTATATCCGTTTGGGAATCATTGCTTCGTCTATCACAACTGGCCTACGGGGTGATAGCATATATTAGGGTCCCAGCTATCGGTAAATAGTGCCCCCCACCCAAAAAAAAATAAATCAGGTCATTTTTATAGTAAAATGACCAAGAATACATTTTATAGCAAAATGAAAAAAAAAAATGTGTAAAATTACATTTTTATAAAATAAATTGCCAACAATACATTTTTCTGGTGAATTTACCAGCAACACATTTTCAAAAACGTGTCAATAATGCATTGTATGATCTGCAAACTATATATCTAAAAAATAAGAACATACCTTTACTATAAAAGTATTAAATTATATTCAAAATATTTAGATTTTGGCATTAAATAACCGAAAGAGATTGATAAAAAAAATCAGCCAACCAGCCAACAAGTGGCCTAATGTGTGATAATAAGTGGGGATCGAATTAACTTTCATTAGTCGTAGAAGTGAACACGTGATTATCACACGGCATCAACCAAATTGTAGTTTCATATATTACTGTGGCAATTATAGAAATGAAATTTTATTTGTTTACTACAAGTAAAATAAAGAAGTTTAAAATGAATTCATATATATGTGCGTTTGTGTTTGTGGGTGTACATCTGCAAGTGTTGATATATATATATATATATATATATATATATATATATATATATATATACATATCACAATTCCAGATTCACACACACATATGTGTGCAGCTGCAAATGTTGATATATATATATATATATATATATATATATATATATATATATATATGCAGAAATATAGTTTTTTAAAGTGTGGTATATTTATGGGATAAAGTGCTCAATATCAGAGATAGAGTATATATATATATATATATATATATATATATATATATATATATATATATATATATATGACACTTGCGGATGCACAGGCAAACACACACACATATATATATATATATAGGTATTAATGTGGATAATTCAAATAACTAGATAGTGTGTTAGCATGCATGCACAGGTAAGCGAATAAATATTTATTGAATTTAATATCAGATGTAAGCAAAACAGTGCTCAATGTGATTAGACAGAACTAAAAATTATATATTAATAAATATATACATACCTACGTTCGAAGTGCACTTCAAACGTAGGTATATATATATATTTATTAATATATATATATATATATATGTGTGTGTGTGTGTGTGTGTGTGTGTGTGTGTGTGTGTGTGTGTGTGTGTGTGTGTGTGTGTGTAAATAAATTAATAAAAAGGAAGAACAGTAAGATATATAATCCGGTGTTCTTATAGGTATTTTTATTTTTACAAAATAGTGCTCGATGTAAATTTACAGAGCATTATTTTAAACCAATTAAGCGGAAAAAAACATATTTTAAATCAATTAATTTATAATATATATATATATATATATATATATATATATATATATACACATATATATATATGTATGTATGTATGTGTGTGTGTGTGTGTAAGGTGTCCATGAAGTCTCTTTACAATTTTAAAAAATTATTACCTAAGCAAATGGACAAATATGTGGAAATTGTTACCAAATGAGAAATAGATAGGAATTGAAGTTTTTAATTAATTTAATCCACCTCTATATTGATACCATTAGTTGCACAAAGTATATCAAGACGGTACTTCATTTCTTGCCAGGTTCATCAGTGGTGGACATGACATCAGTGATCTTTTGCTTTAGACCACTGACGTCCCATATCTTTGTTCGATACACGATATCTTAACATAACCCCAGAGAAAGACATCCGGCGGAGTGATATCTGGTGAAGAAGGTGGCCGGGGAATTAAGCCATCCTTTCCAATCGACCGATCTGAAAATGTTTGATTTAGGAACCCAGGAACATGCAGTCCCCATTGTGATGGTGCACCTTCTTGTTGGAAAATGATAGTTGGTTTAAAGTCATGGTACCACATCAAATGCCTTTGTAATACATATGTTAAAAGAGACTTATGGATACCCTGTAAATAAATACACACGCACACAAAATTACACACACACACACACACACACACACACACACACACACACACATATATATATATATATATATATATATATATATATATATATATATATATATAGAGAGAGAGAAAGAGAGAGCAAGTAAGAAATAATGAGGGCGAGTGATAAGCGAAATCAGGAGAAAAAGGAAAGAGAGAAAATATCCATGAAATGGATCCTGAGCGATGAGAAAAGAAAGGAAATATGCTTGACTGTCCGACCAAAGAAATTGATGATGAAAAACTGGCAACGAAAGAACGAAGGAATGAAAAAATGTGATATATGGAGAGATAGATGGATAATAAAAAAAAAAAATTGAGATAGAGGAAAGCAGGAGGGAAAGGAGGAAAGAAAATGAGAGATCGTTCGCTCGATTGGTAATAGAAAGCAAGAAAGAAACAAAGAATGAATGAATGACTGAATGAAAGAATGAAAGAAAGAATGAAAGAAAGAATGAAAGAAAGAAAGAATGAAAGAAAGAAAGAAAGAAAGAAAGAATGAATGAAACTGAAAGAAAGAATGAAAGAAAGAAAGAAAGAAAGAATGAATGAAAGAAAGAAAGAAAGAAAGAATGAAAGAAAGCAAGAAAGAATGAAAGAAAGAAAGAATGAATGAATGAAAGAAAGAAAGAATGAAAGAAAGAAAGAAAGAATGAAAGAAAGAAAGAATGAAAGAAAGAAAGAATGAATGAATGAAAGAATGAAAGAAAGAAAGAAAGAATGAAAGAAAGAAAGAATGAATGAAAGAAAGAAAGAAAGAATGAAAGAAAGAAAGAATGAAAGAAAGAAAGAATGAATGACGAAAGAAAGAAAGAATGAAAGAAAGAATGAATGAATGAAAGAATGAAAGAAAGAAAGAATGAATGAATGAAAGAGAGAAAGAGTGAAAGAAAGAATGAAAGAAAGAAAGAATGAAAAAAAGAAAGAATGAATGAATGAAAGAAAGAAAGAATGAAAGAAAGAAAGAATGAATGAATGAAAGAAAGAAAGAATGAATGAATGAAAGAAAGAAAGAATGAAAGAAAGAAAGAATGAAAGAAAGAATGAAAGAAAGAAAGAATGAAAGAAAGAAAGAATGAAAGAAAGAAAGAATGAATGAATGAAAGAATGAAAGAAAGAAAGAAAAAATGAAAGAAAGAAAGAATGAAAGAAAGAAAGAATGAATGAATGAAAGAAAGAAAGAAAGAAAGAAAGAAAGAATGAAAGAAACAAAGAAAGAAAGAAAATTGGGAGAGCGAAAAAGACAAAAAAACTAAAAAGAAAGAAAATGCAATAGTTTGTTTATTGATAGATTATGGAAAATTGAGAAAGAAAGAAATAATGAAAGAAAGAAAGAATGAATGAATGAAAGAAAGAAAGAATGAAAGAAAGAAAGAATGAAAGAAAGAATGAATGAATGAAAGAAAGAATGAAAGAAAGAAAGAATGAAAGAAAGAAAGAAAGAATGAAAGAAAGAAAGAATGAATGAATGAAAGAATGAAAGAATGAAAGAAAGAAAGAAAGAATGAAAGAAAGAATGAAAGAAAGAAAGAAAGAAAGAATGAAAGAAAGAAAGAATGAATGAATGAAAGAAAGAAAGAAAGAATGAAAGAAACAAAGAAAGAAAGAAAGAAAATTGGGAGAGCGAAAAAGACAAAAAAACTAAAAAGAAAGAAAATGCAATAGTTTGTTTTATTGATAGATTATGGAAAATTGAGAAAGAAAGAAATAATGAAAGAAAGAAAGAATGAATGAATGAAAGAAAGAAAGAATGAAAGAAAGAATGAAAGAAAGAAAGAATGAAAGAAAGAAAGAATGAATGAATGAAAGAAAGAAAGAATGAAAGAAAGAATGAAAGAAAGAAAGAATGAAAGAAAGAAAGAATGAATGAATGAAAGAAAGAAAGAAAGAAAGAATGAAAGAATGAAAGAAAGAATGAAAGAAAGAAAGAATGAAAGAAAGAAAGAAAGAATGAAAGAAAGAAAGAATGAATGAATGAAAGAATGAAAGAAAGAAAGAAAGAATGAAAGAAAGAAAGAATGAATGAAAGAAAGAATGAAAGAATGAAAGAATGAATGAATGAAAGAAAGAAAGAAAGAATGAAAGAAACAAAGAAAGAAAGAAAGAAAATTGGGAGAGCGAAAAAGACAAAAAAACTAAAAAGAAAGAAAATGCAATAGTTTGTTTTATTGATAGATTATGGAAAATTGAGAAAGAAAGAAATAATGAAAAGAAAAAGAAAGAATGAATGAATGAAAGAAAGAAAGAATGAAAGAAAGAATGAAAGAAAGAAAGAAAAATGAAAGAAAGAAAGAAATGAATGAATGAAAGAAAGAAAGAATGAAAGAAAAGAATGAAAGAAAGAAAGAATGAAAAGAAAGAAAGAATGAATGAATGAAAGAAAGAAAGAAAGAATGAAAGAATGAAAGAAAGAATGAAAGAAAGAAAGAATGAAAGAAAGAAAGAAAGAATGAAAGAAAGAAAGAATGAATGAATGAAAGAATGAAAGAAAGAAAGAAAGAATGAAAGAAAGAAAGAATGAATGAAAGAAAGAATGAAAGAATGAAAGAAAGAATGAAAGAAAGAAAGAATGAAAGAAAGAAAGAATGAATGAATGAAAGAAAGAAAGAAAGAAAGAATGAAAGAAACAAAGAAAGAAAGAAAGAAAATTGGGAGAGCGAAAAAGACAAAAAAACTAAAAAGAAAGAAAATGCAATAGTTTGTTTTATTGATAGATTATGGAAAATTGAAAAAAAAGAAATAATGAAAGAAAGAAAGAATGAATGAATGAAAGAAAGAAAGAATGAAAGAAAGAATGAAAGAAAGAAAGAATGAAAGAAAGAAAGAATGAATGAATGAAAGAATGAACGAAAAAAGAATGAAAGAATGAATGAAAGAAAGAAAGAATGAACGAAAAGAGAATGAAAGAATGAAAGAAAGAAAGAATGAATGAATGAAAGAATGAACGAAAAAAAAGAAAGAATGAAAGAAAGAAAGAATGAATGAATGAAAGAATGAAAGAATGAAAGAAAGAATGAAAGAAAAAAAGAATGAAAGAAAGAAAGAATGAATGAATGAAAGAAAGAAAGAATGAAAAAAAACAAAGAAAGAAAGAAAGAAAATTGGGAGAAAAAAGACAAAAAACTAAAAAGAAAGAAAATGCAATAGTTTGTTTTATTGATAGATTATGGAAAATTGAGAAAAGAAAGAAATAATGAAAGAAAGAAAAATAAAAATATGCCAGATCGGTTAAATTTAAATGAAGTAATATTTTTTTGTGCGACTGTGGCTACTTTTATATATATATATATATATATATATATATATATATATATATATATATATATATATATATATATATAATATAATACTTTTTATTATTATTAATGTTGGAGATATATATACGGATAAGTGTCGACTGAATGCTGTCGAAAGGAACAAACCAAGTGTGACAGATATGAATATACTGACTCTCAAAGAGAAAGAGAGAGAGGGAGAGATGGGCGTAGAAATCGAGGGGAGACTATGAGCGAGTTTAGAAATGTATATGTGTGCATTTCCTGTTAATATAAATCATTTTATTTTGTATATATTACGAGTGTCAAAATCTGCGTCGCTGAGATGATTATGTTACCAGTTGGGTGCTGACAAGTTCTTGGTCTCACCCACTTCTCGAAATGTGACGAAATGACCAAACAACAGTTTATTTTAGAAGGGCTTATTTCTTTTCTGCACCCCTTCGTATTCATATATCTTTGTCATTCATTTCCACTGCCATCTCCCCCCGTCTCCCTCTCTCTCTCTCTTTTTTTACATATATATATATATATATATATATATATATATATATATATATATATATATATATATATATATATATATATGAATTTGAGATATCGCACATTGAGTGCTAATGCTAAAAAAGTGCTAGATGTAATACAACAGAGCCATTAAGGATATATTAATAAATATATATATCCCTCACCGGTTGCACGACTCGGAATTTCATGCACAGCGCAATCTTCAGATGCTGGGTATAGACTAACCTTTACATAATTTATATATAATTAACACACACACACACATACATATATATATATATATATATATTAAGATATTTTTTTATGTTTATACGTTCATTTCAAAATAAAAATATTTAAGTAAATGCTCTGCTTATAATAAATAGTATTAACGACATTTACCGGCCTGAATGCCCGAGAAATTTTCATAAACAATATGCGTCTTCCGACAGGAATCGAACCTGTATTTTATATGGAACCGTCATATAGATTTTCTCTCGTATATTCATATCTGCTCGATGCGTATCCAAGTGAGAACAAATGACGTCACACATTATGAAATGGACATTTTTATTATTTTTAATTTGATATATATATATATATATATATATATATATATATATATATATATATATATATATATATATATATATATATATATATATATATATACATGAAAAGAAAAAAAGAAAAAACAAACAAAAATCTTAATATGCAATTATGCTGTATTAATGTTAATATAAAGTCGACGTCGGACGTTTCGGTCTATTTAAGACCATCTTCATGGACATTTTGTGTTATATTTTTAAATTTTCTAATGTTAATTATGTTTAAATGAAAATGTCCATGAAGATGGTCTTAAATAGACCGAAACGTCCGACGTCGACTTTATATTAACATTAATACACCATAATTGCATATTAAGATTTTTGTTTGTTTTTTCTGTATTTTTCTTCATACTGTCTGATCTATATCCATATATTTGCTTACATATATATATATATATATATATCTTAATAATTTATCGAGATTCGAACAAGAATCCTAAAAAAAATATACAGAAACCACTGGACGGCCGTTTATCAATTTTGGGACTCATCAAAAGTGCGCATCTCCTACGGAGAATCGAACCTGGACCGTTACGATAAAACTCAAGCACTCAAGCATCATATCACTGGTGAAGAAGAAGAAGAAGAAAAAACTAATTAGACTCAGCAGCTGCTCCTAATTCCGGTGGTGATACTCATGCAAGTATAAATAACCCACCGTAACCGGCCCCAAGAATGACGTCTTCTTTCAGCAAGCCGCTCCCTCCAGGGCACTGGAAGCTGGATCAGGCAAAGGTTTTATAAGTGATAGAATTTATTTTGAGATTTGAACAAATTCCATCATAATTCATCGAGTCTCGAACAATAAATCTAAAAATTCTATCACACACACGCACACACACACATAAGTGTATATATATATATATATATATATATATATATATATATATATATATATATATATATAATTATTTATTTAAAAATTATAACATAAATATGTTATAAATCACTACCAAAATAGCTATTTTGTTTCAACACCTCCGGTGTCTTATCAAATTATGATGTTGCTCTCTCTGTATTGAGCACTCTTTTAAGAATAGTAATTGTTGGTTATTGGAATTTATTCCGTATACAATCAATCATATGTTATATATATATATATATATATATATATATATATATATATATAGAGAGAGAGAGAGAGAGAGAGATAGTATTTATTCAAAAATTATAACATAAACATCACTACAAAAATAGCCCTTTTGTTTCAACACTTCTGGTGTCACGTGATGGTGTTCATCGCAGAATAAAGAGTTTTAAAAAGTAAAAAACTAACCAAATTACCCTCAATAGGGGATACATTGTTACCTAAGCTACAATAACCCATCAAAATACAAGTATATGATAATTCAAAAAACTTGACATCGAACCTGTGATACAATTTATGCTTTAATGTTATTGTTAGACTAAATTAGAATAAATTCGAACTGATTAATTTTTAATTTTATTATAAAGTTAAAAAATAAAAATTACAAATTTTAAATTTAACCCTACTTTAATTTTAAAATATTATAAAATTATTCGAAGAAGGAAAATATACATATATTTTTTATTTATTTCTTATTTTAATCGAATAGCCAAATTTTCAACTATAGCTACTCAACTATGTTGAGGAAATTTGGAAATTGTAAGACAAAATTGGAAAATTTTCTCAGTACAGTAGAACCTCGTTGTACGAGTTCACCATTATACGAAAAACTTGCTTTAGGAGCTGCCATTCGTGAACATTTTTGTATCGTAGGACGAGTAAAATTTCGCAGTACGAACAACCGTCACATACACGGAAGGAGTCGGTGACTGCGGTAAAGTGATGCATTGCCAGCTGACGTCATCTATTTCTAAGAAACAACACACTAAAAGTCAAAGTGAAGCGTATCTGTGAACGCCTGACATCCAGAATATTTATTCATTTTATTGGAGAAATTTCTTCTAAGTACTTATCACAGATAACTTCAGCTACCAACGCTATCGATTGCCTCCCTTTCCCTTTAGTTCCTGACCACCACCTCATTCAATTCAAGTATTCATTTCGTAGCGGTAACATCCCGATCGTTTTGTGACAGATAATTTTCTGTGAAACGTGTATATTTTGGAATTATTTAACCATGGATTCAGAGAAAGTAGGTTTTAAAGACAGGGGTTATGAGAAGAAAAAGCTAATTAGATGAGAAGTGAAGAAAAAAATAATAGGAAATACGAAAGAGGAGTGTGTGTTGTGCACTTAGCAGGACAATACGACCGAACGACATCAAAGATCTGAAGCGTCTTGAAGCAGAAGGATGACATAAAGGGTGTATCTGAGCTGTCCAGGCAAAGGACTAATATCCATGAGGAGATGGAAAAGTTGCTTCTTCTTTGGATTAACTAGAAGTAGCTCGCAGAACGATACTCTGACACAAAGAATTATTGCTGAGAAAGCCCGAGTACTGTATGGGGATATCCAAAAGCAGAAGTCGAGACCATCGACCCAAGAGACTCCAGCAGAAGAGTTTAAGGCAAGTGGGGCCTGGTTCGACAATTTTAAGAAACGAACTGTTGTGCACAGTGTCGTGAGACACAATGAAACAGCTAGTTCTGATAAAAAGGCAGAGAGTAATTATACATTCTTATCGCTCAAAGTGGAGTTCAATAGTGTTATAAAAACCTCGGAGAATTCCAGTAAGACATCTTTAGTTATTTCTAAAATACAGAGGTTTAGAGCTTAATCTAACAACTGGACAATTTTTCTGTTATAACCGCATATACATGCATATATATATATATATATATATATATATATATATATATATATATATATATATATATATATATATATATATATCATTCATAATCATTCAAAAAAACAGATTAGTGAAGTTAATGATATAAATGGCGAGAATATATCTTCGCAAACAAATTTATTAAAATTACATTAACCCAAGAACCTCTAGATGCGATCCCTTTTTTTTAATAAATTCAACTTGTATAAGGTCTTTTTTTTTTTGGGTAGTACTTTCATCTGTTCATACAGACATCATCAGGCATGGAAATTGATTTGTTTTTTGTTGTTTTTTTTTGTTTTTTTAATACATCCAGGTAATAACGGGACACGAAAGATTTGATGTGAATTAAAATATGTTTTTTAGAAATGTGTTATTGTTAACTGTAAGAAATTCTGGTGCGTGCAGTCGCAACGCTAAGGTTGAATGTTTTGAAAATTTAAAAGACAGTGCGTTTTTTCTACTAATATGGTAACTGGAGAATTCTTTTTTTTTGTAGTAGGTTTTTTTTCAATCCATGTGGCAGGAACTAAATTGTTCAATAAACAGAGCAATGTCGCAGCTATTATCCCGAAAGTTGCACGTCGGACCAGTTCTTTTTAAATCAAATATGTGGTGCAGTTCAATTTTGTATGAATGATTCGTATAATATAAATTAAACTGCACCACATATTTGATATATATATATATATATATATATATATATACACACACACACATATATATATATATATATATATATATATATATATATATATATATATATATATGTATATTGCGTGTGTGTGTGTGTATATATATATATATATATATATATATATATATATATATATATATATATATATATATATATATATATAGTGAGGATATAAAGATCAAGATTTCATGGTCATTTTATCGTCTTTAGCATTAATTAGAACATGTAATACTCCTTCTTGCCTGGGTTATGCATAAACGCAGTTGGACAGACATTTAGG